ATCCTAATCTCGATCTGTGCCAACTCAACAAACACCTTCGGAGATACCTGCAGAGCATCTTTATGATCACCCAGTTACATTGTGACGTTTGATAGCACACAAGGCATTCCTCTGGTATCGGGGAATTGCATAATCTCATAGTCAAAGGAATATGTATTTGACATGAAGAAAGCAATAGCAATAAAACTGAACGATCATTATGCTAAGCTACCAGATGGGTCTTGTCCATCACATCATTCTCCTAATGATGTGATCCCGTTATCAAATTACAACTTAAGTCTATGGTTAGGAAACCTTAACCATCTTTGATCAACGAGCTAGTCAAGTAGAGGCTCACTAGGGACATAGTGTTGTGTCCATATATTCACACATGTATTAAGGTTTCCGATCAATACAATTCTAGCATGAATAATAAACATTTATCATGAATAAGGAAATATAAAATAACAACTTTATTATTGCCTTTAGGGCATATTTCCTTCAGGATGTTCCCTTTGTGCGCGAGAAGGTTCAGTTGGGTCAGCTACGTGTTCTTCATGTACCGACTATCCAACAGTTTGCCGACATCATGACCAAGGGGTTGCCAACTGCTGCATTCCAGGAGTTTCATTCCAGTCTTTGCATCGCCGACCCCGACGCTTGTATTGCAAGGGGGTGTTGAATGTGACATATCTGTATTTATTACTGATTGATCCTCCTATGATCTCTAGTCTTGTATAGATCAATGATACGTCTACAACGTATCTATAATTTTTGATTGTTCTATGCTATTATATTGTCTGTTTTGGATATTATATGCATTAATATGCTATTTTATATTATTTTTGGAACCAACCCATTAACCTAGAGCCCAGTGCCAGTTTCTGTTTTTCCTTGTTTCAGAGTTTCACAGAAAAGGAATACCAAACGGACTCCAAATGGAATGAAACTTTCGCAATGATTTTTCTTGGACCGGAAGACATCCAGAGGACTTGGAGTGCAAGTCAGAGAAGCCACGGGGAGGCCACAAGGACGAAGGGCGCGCCTAGGGGGTAGGGCGCGCTTATATATTCCCATATATCCCCAAACCACCAGAGGCATCCACGAGAACACTTTTCCACCGCCGCAACCTTTTGTACCCGTGAGATCCCATCTAGGGACCTTTTTTGGCACCCTGCCAGAGGGGGATTCGATCATGGAGGGCTTCTACATCAACTCTATTTCCCTTTCGATGAAGTGTGAGTAGTTTACCACAGACCTAGGGGTCCATAGCTAGTAGCTAGATAGCTTGTTCTCTCTCTTTGATTCTCAATACTATGTTCTCCTCGATGTTCTTGGAGATCTACTCGATGTAATACTTTTTTGCGGTGTGTTTGCCGAGATCCGATGAATTGTGGATTTATGATCAGCTTATCTATGAATATTATTTGAATCTTCTCTGAATTCTTTTATGTGTGATTTGATATCTTTGTAATTCTTTTCGAACTATCGGTTTGGTATGGCCAACTAGATTGGTTTTTCTTCCAATGGGAGAAGTGCTTAGCTTTGGGTTCAATCTTGCAGTGTCCTTTCCCAGTGACAGTAGGGGCAGCAAGGCACGTATTGTATTGTTGCCATCGAGGATAAAAAAGCTGGGATTTTCATCATATTGCTTGAGTTAATTCCTCTACATCATGTCATCATACTTAATGCATTACCCCGTTCTTTATGAACTTAATACTCTAGATGCATGCTGGATAGCGGTCGATGTGTGGAGTAATAGTAGTAGATGCAAAATTATTTCGGTCTACTTGACACATACGTGATGCCTATATTCATGATCATTGACTTAGATATTGTCATAACTTTGCGCTTTTCTATCAATTGCTCGATGGTAATTTGTTCACCCATTGTATTATTTGCTATCTTGAGAGAAGCCTCTAGTGAAACCTATGGCCCCCGGGTCTACTTTCCATCATATAAGTTTCTATTTTTCATCATACAAGTATCCGATCTACTATATTAGTTTCCGATATACTATTTTTGCAATCTTTCACTTTCCGATCTATAAACCAAAAATACCAAAAATATTTACTTTATCGTTTATCTATCTCTATCAGATCTCACTTTTGCAAGTAACCGTGAAGGGGTTGACAACCCCTTTATCGCGTTGGGTGCAAGTTGTTTGATTGTTTGTGCAGGTATTCGGTGATTTATGCGTTGTCTCCTACTGGATTGATACCTTGGTTCTCAAACTGAGGGAAATACTTATCTCTACTTTACTGCATGACCCTTTCCTCTTCAAGAGAAAAACCAACGCAAGCTCAAGAAGTAGCAATTAACTACTAGAGATATTGTAGGGTTAGTTGGCTTATCACGCAAGACATCACCTGTATATATAGTAACAGACTTCGATGAAGTCTATTGAGTTGCATCCTATAGTCTTCTACACACACCACTCATAGTCCGTGCCCACCTAACAGTATCAGGATAACCAGTCAACACAACTGCAGAACATGTTTCAATAATGTTTTGTCATGATTGCAGAGTCACCCCCAGGGTCCTCTGAAACTGAATATTACCCGATCCATTGTTTATCACCCCATGCACATAAATGTTATGATTGAAGTAAATATTATACAATTTGGGGCAAGTTTGCTTGAGAGGCTTACCATCAATCCACCGGTCCTCCAAGATATAGTATTCTCCCACAATCCTTTTGCAACAAAGAGTAATTTTTTTCTTCACATCCACAAATCTAGTCCAAAATTGGGATCGTCGATCTTATGTCTGACTCCACCATATATTGATTTCTAATATATTTATTGTTTAGGATAGTCTTTGTGTGGTTTCATATTTCCACAACCATCATGAAATGGTTGTGTGCATCTTGTGCTGCAAAGGCCCGAGTACTCCCCTTTCCAAAAAGAAACTACCTTTGTGCCATAAGAACTTGGCTCATTAAATCAAGATTGAGTATGCCAAGCCCACTTGGTCTTTAGGTTAACAAACATCTCTCCACTTTACCAAATGATACTTTCTTTTGTTATAATCCTCATGCCAAAGGAATCCGGATCAGAAAAATCATGTATTTTCTAACTCCATCAAGAATTATGTAAAAACAAATCATATACGGAGGCATATTAGATAAACAAGATGGGATTAAAGTCAAATCCCTCCCAAGGTCAACATTTTGCCTTGCCAACATTCACATATATGCTCAATTTTTTTCAAATGTTCCCGTAGGACTTATTTCTAATTATTTTCTCATCAACAGGGATGCCTAAATATATCATTGGTTGATCTCCTATCCTACAGGGAAAAAATCCTATTATATTCCACATAAGAAAACTCAGTTTTATTATGAAAGTTTTTTAACCCAACTTTTGCCCACATGCACAAATGATCACCTTTACATTGTGTGCTAGAATTAAATCACATAGTAGAAGAAAAAAATAGTGGCACTTGCATACCTCATTCAACTATATTTTCCAAAACCCCTTTCACCATATTAGTTTGTCTAACAACATAACTAGGGCATCAACTCCTGGATCGAAAAACAGAGGGATAAGAAATCTCCGTGCCTCATCCCTTTAAGTGTAGGAAAATAAGGCTCAACTTTTCCATTGACCTTAACACTTACATGGCCCCCCTATCAAGAGCTTGACATCATGTTTCTCATCATGTATGGTATCAAGTGCCGCATGCAAAATTTTACTCCCAGCCATTATATCTCCTTTTTACAAAAATAGCGTATACATGTGATCTCACAATACCAGCTACTGAATTAAATCTATTCGTCAAAACTTCAGTGAAAAATTTGAAACCAACATTACACATGCATATCTTTTTGAATCTTTCTAGCTTTTCGGAGTCAAAGTTGTTATCTCATAATTGAACCTAGAAATGTCTAGGACACCATTATGGAAATCATCCACTAAACCTTTGATATCCCACTTAATTATCTCCCGAAATTATGATAGAATTCTAGATAAACCCGTCGAGATTGGGAGATTTATTTTGCCTGTTTAACTAGATGTATGTTGCCAAATTTTGTATTTGGACCAGTCAATTTCATTTGGGAAGGAAGGAGGCGGCGGACCACGGAGGCCTGGGGACGCCGACAAGGCCTCGTCTAGGAACGAGCCGTGGCCGCTAGCA